GACACCTTCAACCATGCTCCTCTCACGTCAACTTTTTCCTGCTCTGTTGGCTTTCTCCGAACCGAGTTATAAATGTTTTCATAAAGCACTACATTTTTGGAGAACGCCCCGCCTATCGGGGGTGGGTCTCATCTAACTTACCAATGCACACCTTTAATCGCCCTTACACCCCAGTTTTGAGGCCGTCTTGTGACTGAATTTGAAATCATGGTCCTCAGTACAGCTCGTTTCGATGCACGCCACGCCCACTGTGGGCGGGGCTCTGCCAAGCTGATGTGTGTTTTATACTTCTCGGGACATGGCCCACCCATCCCATGCTTGAACCGGTCTCTCCAGGCAGATCGAAAGGAGCTAAGGAATTTCGTGACAGACATACAGACGACAGACAGACAGACAGACTAAGCGCTTTATAGCAAGTAGGATACTATATGTATTACCTTTCTCGCGCAACGTTCTACCTGACATACTCAATTTATTACCGGAAAATTACTTCTCTAAGCAGATCTGTTTCAGCAATGAAATATGCTTTTACGGTAGCTACTGCCGAAGATCACAACTAGCTGTAGAGCTTTGTGCTTATTCAACTCATTCACTTTTATTCCAATTTGTTCAGAACTACTTTCATCCTCGAATGACGTGATTTCTGCGGTGGTCACTGCTCCCACGCCAACACCTCTTGATGAGACACCTGAAACAAGTCCGTACAACATTGAAGATGAGAGGTACGATCCATCTCAAGAGGTTTTGTGCAGTTGGACCAATTTGACTTTTAGCCAACTTGACTATCAAGCTGTGTTTGGTTCGCGACCGAAAGTGGCTCGAACTCCCGACGGTGCCAGCCATCGAGGCAATTTCGCTCGCTGATATGCGTCGCTCCACGGCAATCTCGATCTGCAATAATGCCAAAGACTATCGCAATGTCAAATTTCAGATTTTTTTTTTGCTTTTTTTAAAATTTCTTGTGTCTCTGTTGGTTCTGCAAACTTTTCCCTTTGCTTCGCGGATAAATGAATTTGATGCTAATTCTTGTCAAAAACAGAGGCACATTCTATTGAAAACAGGTTCTTCTTCAGAGGTTCATTCAATAAATTCCTCAAAGAGTAAAGCATAGACCATTTCTATTCAAAACATAGAACAAAGTCTATTTTATTTATTAATTATTTATTACGTGTCAAGCACGTGTAGTTGCCAAATGGCAACAGAAAGTAAATCACGTGAGAAACACATAAAAGCACAATATAGACCGGTAGAGTTCCACCGGAGTACCTACTAAGATGGGCTTCGAGGGCATTTGTCGTTTTAGGGAGGGAATAAAGCTCAGTTAGGCGAGTGTACACTGATCCATTGCGAGCTACAAAAAATTTGTGCTCAAGATCTGAACGAGCTGCACTGAAGTTTATCTTACTATATTACACCAGTAATGATGGATGACATTATACGAATTAGATCACTACATCGAACATTAACTTGGCCACGGAGTATTTGCTGACCATTATCAAATCTCTCATTCTCCTGGTAGGAGCCATTTGAATGTAGAAAACGATTATCCAAGAAGAACCTTACAGTGCTCTGGAGAATTCTCTTGTAGGTCTGCCCGTTATCAGAGGATAATACGTACATTTACTCCACTAGATGTGAAACTAGAAATAGTTTTTCTCCCATCACATAGTTTGGCTCTTCTCCGGTAATGTGAAGATAACTTTGTCTTATTCCAAACATGAACGGCAAATTTCCTTTATACTTATTCCTCGATGAAATATTACTATTGAAGGCTCCATGAAACTCTCAAGGGTTAGATCTTCCTAGATGCAACACCTTCAGTTTCTTTTCATCTTTTTACACTTC